GAAGGGACACCTTCGTATATTCTTTCCTACTTTCCAATCTTGACCCCTTTCCTTTCGTTTATGAACTACGTAAGGAGATCTCAACCAAATACTCTCCATACGAATCCTTTTCCCTTTTTTATCTGGTTTTCTTTTTGCTTGCTCTTCCTGCTGTTCCGTCACAACTAACTGCTGTTGTTCAGCAGCAGGAGGAAAAACTACAGCCATCGTGGCATATGCTTGACCAACTCCTTGCTATTCACGATGTTCTTGTGTCTCTTCACGAACAACAACAACAGCAGAATTACCTTGTGAATTAGTCCCTTGTGTACTACCAAGTGAAAATGAACATAAATTGAAGTTGGGGATATCACTGGTATCACACATAGGAGAACTGGAAATCTTCCTTCTCTTAGGTTTTGGAAGAAGTTCTGATGCATCAGATGAGATCTGCAAAAGCAAGGAAAATATAAACATAAATAAAATTGATAGAAAACACACATTAGGCAAAAAAATAGATTGTAATCGAATTGCAGAAAATAACTACCTGATCTAAGTGTTGCGACACAAATGGTGTTTGCATTCCGACAGATCCTGTATCTTCATGCAAAATAAATAAATAATACTGACTAAATTTTATAAAATAATACCAACACACTTCACACCTGTCTGTGAGGCAACATGTGCGAATCTATGTATTTCTCCTTTTTCATATAGCTGCATAAGCTCACCAAATTCTTTTTGAGCTGCCTCGAGTCTTTCTGAAAAATCATTCAAAAACATAAAAAAGAAAATAAAGTATGTAAAATTTCAAATTGTAAAAATATACTTCGATCAAATATAATAAATTCATGATTCTATAGAATACCCTGAAGTTTGTCTTCCGCTGTGGTTTCCCCAGGCTGCATGCGTTTGTCGATATCAGCATTTCCAGCTTCATTCAATTGTGAACCAACGTCAAGGAGCATTGGAGTATTCTCTGGAAGGTTTTTCTCAACTCTACCTTCATTCAATTCAGCATCATCAGAGAGTTTTTGAGTTGTGTCAATTGAGGCACAACTAGTTTCAACTTCCACTGCATATTCATAAAGAGGGGGAATAGATCAACTAGTTTTTCTATATATATAATATAGAAAAAATTTATACCTCTAGTGAAAATTTCACTACAGGATATTATAAAAAACAATTAAAACTTCAACTCTAAGAAGGCTGAAGTTAGCCAGTCACAAACAAAAACTTCAGCTCTAGAGCTGAAGTTCGACAGTTACAAAAACAAAAAGTTCAGCTCTAGAGCTGAAGTTCACCAGTTACAAACCAAAACATTCAGCAAAAAAACATGTTGTAGTTTTTACAAAAAACACAAACACATGAAACAAAACTTCAGCTCCTATCTAAGGTATCATTGAAATATTATAAACTTCACACTTTGTACCTGTAGTAACAATTTCCTTTGTATCACCACATGATTCTCGATGGTTATTCAAATCAAAATTGCCATCATCCATTCCATTTGATTTGTTGAAAATCGTAAACAACTGTTCAAACTTCTCATCGAAATATTCCTAGAAAAAAAATTACTAACAATGATTAATCTGAATAACATCAACAGAAATAAAAAGACTTCTCTATAAATTAGCTTACCTTCACTTTTACAAAAACCGCATCCACAATAGCAGATCGCTCCTCCTTTTTATATTTATCAAAAAACTTCGTTCACGATCGTGCTTCTTTCTTTTTCTGCATGCCTTTGAACCTCCATCGTTAACCTCTAGAATAGATACACAACAAAAATTCAAATATAGAAGAAAACTTCAGCTCAAAAACATATTGTACTTTTAAAAAAATAAAACCAAAAAACTTTAGATCAAAACTTACAGAACATATTGTCTCAAGTAATTAATTGCCATCCAAGTCAGATGTAGAACAGGTAGAACGACTCTGGGTAAGAGATGATTCACCAATAAAAGGAGTTCGATTCGGTTCTTTTGATCGATTCCGACTACGTGATGATTCACCAATGACATGAGTTCGATTCGCTTCTTTTGATCGACTAAGAGTACGTGGTGATTTACCAATGACAGGAGTTCGATTCACTTCTTTTGATCGACTCAGAGTACGTGGTGATTCACTAGTTGAAGGAACTGCATTAACTACCTTTGAACGAATCCGGCTGCAAGGTAATTGTCCAATTAAAGGCATTGAATTCAATTCCTCTTCTGTAGGAATTATATCCAATACCCTAAAGTTGTGATATCTCTGTTTAATACAAAAAAGTATATTATGAGGAGAAAAAAACTAATACATCAACATATTAACACAAAGATAAAAAAAAGTAACTTACTTCATGAGTATTGAACATATGATAAAGTTCGGAAAATTTAGGCTCTCCCACACATACATAACGTAACATCCTGGGGACCTGAGGGGTATCAAGGTACTCATCCTCTCTTATATACTTCTCCCGAACATCTGGGAAGCGCTCATAGAACCAAGCACATAACGGATATGAAAATCCACCAAGTTTATACTCAGTTGTATGTAATTTGTTCTGCTTGTCCAATGCATGTTTCAGTGAATAAATGAGCTTCTCATAAGCCACATTACCCCAAGGATATTCAGTACAAACCTTAACATCTTCAACAATAGATGCATATATTTTTCCCAAACAAAATAGACTCTACAACAAGAATTTCCATAAGCTTAACAACATCATCATCACTCTCGCATACATGTACATGATTCACATCATTTTTGGAATTTCATTGCGAGTCATAAAACTTCGAATATCCTTCAAAGTCACACCCTTGGACTTACCATAATAGCGCTTCAGAATATTGCTCTCTAGATTAATTGGTTTTTCAAAATTATGTGTTGTGATCCACAAATCACACATAATATGAAAGTCTTCAAGGGTGAAGGAAACATCATGGCCAAAAATCTTGAAACTAATGAAGTCTCGATCATTCGTGAATATTCGAGAAAGACACAGACAATAAACCAACTTCATGCTGCATTTGAAATTCTCCATAGCCATAATGTATCGAAATGTACCATTATTAAGCTTATCCCGTTGTGTAGGAGTTAAGAAAGTTGCAATTAATTTCTTCAAATTATGGTTTCCCTTCCAGTAACCCTTAGAGTTAAACCAATCTCAAACTCAAAATATCTTTGCCCTGGTCTTGTAGGTGGAGGAGCAGGGACATAAGGACCTGGGGGTATTATAGGTTGTCTAGGTGCTTTGCCTACTTTAGCTGCATTAGGATCTTTAGGTGTTTTAGGAGCCATATGCTCAAAAAAAGTAAAAGATACAAAAAATAACATCAGGACATTATCAAAAAGAACAGTTAAAACATCAACACCTAAGAAGGCTGAAGTTCGACAGTTACAAAGATAAAAAACTTCAGCCCTAGAGCTAAAGTTCGATAGTTATAAAATAAAAACTTCAGCTCTAGAGCTGAAGTTCACTAGTAACAAACACAAAAACTTCAGCTCTTAAAGCTGGACTTCACCAGTACAAACACAAAAATTTCAGCTCCTAAAGCTGAACTTCACCAGTTACAAGCACAAAATATTCAGCAAAAAAACATGTTGTAGTTTTTACAAAAAAACAAAACACAAATTCAAATCCAAAAATAATGCCAAAACACGAAAAAAAAACTTCAGCTCCTATCTAAGGTATCATTGAACTATTATAAACTTCACACTTTAATAGTATCATCTATTTAACTCTCAAAATTTTTAAAAATTTAGACGTCTAATCATAGAAGAATTTATAGAATTTTCATCAACAACATAAACACTCGTTCAAAAAACCTAAAAACACAATCGTAAAAGTAAAACTAATGCACTTATCAAACTAAACCCTAAGAAAATATTTTATCATAAATACATGACCATCAAAACCAAAACCAGAGATTAAATCGTAAAATAAAACCCAGAAAGTTAATGCAATGTACCTGTGATTAAATCGTAATGTGGGAACAACGACGACTAGCAGTTGAAAAATCAAAACAACGACGAAAATAGTTTGATTTCAGAGAAGAACAAATCAAAAAACGCGAATAACGGGAGAGAGAGACAGAGACACTAGAGGACTAGCGTCTACTTGGAGAGAAAGTAGTCTTTTAATAAAGAAGGGCAAAATAATCTTTTCAAATGGCTTCTAACAAAAAATACGGGTACAAATGCAAACAGAAAGACAAAGCGACTACAGGTTAAAAGCGCCCCATGCAATTTTTACATTGTGAAGTGTATTCTGTTACGAAGAAGGAAATATGTTAACGGCTATTCAAGACCATGAAGAGCAGGTTTCTTAAATCTTCTTTGGAGTAAGCCGGAATGAAACTTTTTGTCATACTCATTTCATACATTTGATTATCCGGAAATATCAATCAATTACATATATCTACAACTCGAATATAAACATAAAAATCTAACCAAACAGACAAAATTGACAGAACTTGACCAATAAATATTTTTTAAATTACGTAATTGGTTTGATTAAGTAAATATTGAGTCAAAAACGAACACCCCTACTATAAGTACAATTAGGTCAATTTAACAATTTGTCACCATTAAGGCAGCATATATATTAGGTTAAATGAATCTGAATAGAACTCTTTTTCTTGATGATGGTGGCCGTTAATTTTCATATTGAGGATTTATGTTCCTGAAACTGGGGGATAACATTTTATTGACGTTGATGCGATCATCCTACCTTATTTGCGTCTGATTGAACCGATTAATTAATGTATCAAGCAGTTAATCACTCCTTAATTTCAAACTAGTGTAGATAGCGTATGTAAATACTTCGTACTCATTTCGCTCTATTTTTGCATCCTGAAACTGGTAAATAGTATTATTTTTTTTTAGTGCAGATTAAAGATATTCTCTAAGCTGGACACTTATTCCTATACATAATGGGTATATGCCGTATATGCAATAATTTGACCACCATAATTTGCTCGGTAGAACTCGCATTGGAGTTTAGCTGTTAAGCTACATGAATATCAACAACGAAATTATCTAACAATGAACTTCGTATTAGCTTCATTTCAAAAACCACAAAATACAAAAGGTATCTGATTACAACATAAGCAGCCAAGTAATTATACTTTGCCGCAATCTCTCCTAGTCAACCTCTCATGACCGGTAATAAAACATTAGCCTAGAGGACCCATCAAATTAAGGATGTCGACCAGCAGCTTTGCCACAGAGAAGAGCATTAGTAGGTATGTAATATTCATTAGCTAGACTTTGGGTTGGGTTGTAGACCCTGAGGTACACCTGTTGTCCAAGATATTGCCTATCCCACATAGCTGACCTCAAATTCCACATTCCTTGGTTGTCCAATGATACCAATATAGCAGTCCAAGATTTTGGATAGACCTGCAAAAACCATTTCATGTTCATGATTAGGACTATATATTCAAATAGAGTTAATTTCACATATGGTCACTGACAACAAAATTTATCCATCAAGATGGTTTTACAATTATAATGGGTAAAATATTTTGCTGACTTTACTGGTATAGTGAGTAAAGTTCTATTACTTTAATGTGACAAAAGATAGTTCTCTTACTTTACTGTTACAACGGGTAAATTTCAATTACTTTAGAGAAATAATTTGCGACTTTTCTATTATGGTGGGGATAGAAGTGCTCATACTGAAACTAACACTTCACATTCATGGAACTGTTGCGTTAAAGTGGCTGAATTTGACGTTTACCTGTGTAGTATGCCTAGTAGGAGCATCAACAAGATTGTACTTATTTCTACTTGCTTGTGTCCATGTGCCAGATCCAAAACTGCAGATTTTAGCAATAGGAAAGGATTAGAAAAGTCAGACTCTTATACCATTTGGAGAAATGGAAAACTTTGATGTACTAAGACATACCCGACAACCCAGAAATCATAGCCATCAAGATGCCAAGATTGCATAGTAGCTTCATTGTTTTGGAAAACGATTTCAATGAAGTCATGGTGAGAAGCTGGAAACACAGCTGTGGCTAGGTAAGGAGAACCATCTGAGGGAAAAGTTTGAATGGAGTTCAAGCTGAACACACCGGGGATGTTGAAGTGATCAGCAAGTTTTAGTGGAGTATCAGGATTAACATAAGAGACCCTATTCACTGCATATCTCAGCTTCCCATTGATAAGAGGTGCAGAGTTAGCCAGCACAAAACTCCTTGATATTGTAATTTTTCCATAGTGGAATGTACCCTGAGGATTTGGTCTAGCTGCATTTGCTGTCAGATTCCACCTTCAATTCATAAAGGAAAAGAGAATTAGGACATTTGAGAAATATAAACAATCTAGCTGTCAAGTGTCAACTATTCTTGAAATGCTTTCTTTATCATATGTAATGTTTTTTTTAATAATCGTGGTGTCAGGGCCAGCTTGCGCAGACCTCGACTAATGAGATACCGGCTACCTCCCACCAGCAATAGGTCTTATCATTTGAGAACTATAAACAATCCTAGCTGTAGAGTGTCCACTAGTCTTGAAATAATGTGAATATACATGGCAATTCTTGTGGATAAAGGTACCTGAATGTTCTGGCTTGCAACATAGACCAATGCATTTGGCCAGCTGGAGCAGATGGCATGGGTCCAGAAACGGACGTCTGAGAGTTAGAGTAGTGGAGAACTGCAGTAGCAGTAAGAACAGTCCTTGTGAACCTTGTGGAAGCAACAATGTAGTAGTCCTTTGGAGGTTGATCCAATGTAACAAGGACAGACATAGATTGACCCACATGGACATCAAGAGAATCATAGAGGCTCTGAATCACGTGAGATCCTTCAACCTCGACGACTCTCATCTTGTGGCCGTGAATTCTGAAGTTAAAAGTATTTTTTAAACCTACATTAGAGATCCTGAACATGTATGTTTTTCCTGTAAATGAAAAAAAAAAAAAAAGATGTCGTTAATGAGTTGTTCTTCAACAGGATTAAATGGCTAGGATACTTTAAATGATTAATGACAATGCAATATGACCTTGATCTCCAGTGAAGCTGGACTGCTTCTGTCCATTTATGAGGAGGCCGCTAGGAAAAGGAAGAGACTTCCCTGAGTCCAATATTTGCCGCAATACCTGCAAAAACCAAAGGTTAAGATACTGGGATATTTGCAGCACACAATTGGACAACTATATTATCTAATACAGTAAGAAAGAAAGCAAGAAAGAAGCAATTTAGTTACCTTATGGCTGCTTTTGTACCAATCACCAATAAGTAAACTGAAATCTCCAGCAGGTTTAGCATATGGAACTGGGATTACTGATCTTGCATATATGTTAAGTGCGCCGAAACCACCAACAGCTCTGTGCAATTGAGTTGAAGGGAAGTATGTATAGCTTCCAATCTGATCTTTCATTTGAAACTTGTAAGTGTAATTTGAATTTGGAGGAATGGGACAATTAGTTCCCAAAACTCCATCTTGCCATGAGTTCTTCCTTTGTTTGATTCCGTTCCTAAACAGTAAATACATGTAAGGCTATAGGTCTAACACTTGTTCTCAACAATTCTATGACTACAAAAGCAACAGCAAAATCAAGAGAAACCAAAATACTACACTTTTTGAATAACATGAA